ATTGATTGATATATCTTCATGCTGTGAAAAATTATAACATCGTGATCTACTAATTTCTTTATACAATATTAATATAGTTTTAAACATAACTAAAGCAATACAAATATATATGTTAATTTGTGTAAAATGTGAAAAACTTGTGATTAAAAAAGATTTATCTTCATACTTGTCTTTATATTTAAGAAAAAATATATCTTTGAGTGTATGTAACTACGAAAAAAATAAAAAATGATTCTGAAGTAAAGTAAGATGAAAAAATTGTTACAAAAAATTCGGGATTTTTAATATTGTTACATGTAAATAAATCATATTTTGCTTTATATTTATATATATACACAACATATAATTAATCTTGTTTTACTTGTACATGTATATTATATTATTATCATACTTTAAAAGCGCATAATTTCACAAAAATATATTAAGAAATGACAAAAAATATATTTCATGATTAAAAAAAGCTATATGACAATTATATATGTATATATAATATTAGATGAGTCGTATGGGTTCTGTTCAATCGTCATATTATTATTAAAGCTTTAATCATCTTCAACTATTTTTAAAATAAACTAATTATACTTGTGATATAATTCATTTTTCAATCGGTATAACGGAAAATAAACGAGATATTGAAAGATATTATGCAGTATGTAAGAATTTTTATTTTCATTCTTTTCAATATCACTATAGATTTATTTATTTGAAATAAAAAATAAAAATGTATGTATATATATAATTTATAGTTGAGGTTGTATTCTGTTACATATATTTTCAGTTTATTAAATGATAATATGTATAAAATTACATCTAATATTTTTATAAAAATGTATTTATTAAGTACGATATATATATATATATATATATATATATATATATATATATATATAGTAATTAATAAATACATTTTTATAAAAATATTAGATGTAATTTTATATGTATATATTATCATTTAATAAAATGAAAATATATGTAACAGAATACAACCTCAACTATAAATTCACAAATGAACTAAATTAATATGGATAAATATTAATTTTTTAGAAAATATATATATATATATATTTTTTCGATTTAATTATTTTATTTTGTTTAAAAATGGCGCGTAAGTAATGACACTACCGCTATCCCATTAATGGCCGCATTCAGCTGACTCACAGTTGGACAATATTACTAGATTTTCCGGTGTAATTCGGCGCTGATTGGTTGAATCTGAAAGTAGTGAATCTGAACCAATCATATTCGATTGCTACTTAGCGATTGAGTCCGCTGAATGCGGTCATTGGCGGCTTTGTCCCATCCCTCACTTGAGGCAGTGATAGTAGGCCGGGTGACTTTTTCGCGCATGCACCGCGAACACGGCGTTAACGAAGTATCTAGTAGAAGCAAAAGGTGTGTCACTGGTCGTCCTTAAATAAATTTCTGAAAGAAAATTTTTTAAAAATTTTTACGAGCGACCAACAGCACACTTTCATTTCACTAATCACTTTTCTCGCTGTATTTTAAAACACTATAACATTCACTCGGGACTCAGGACTTCTTCCTGACATCACCGACCTCTGCTTGCCCGCCAAAACTTTGGCGCCCATAATCCGCTTTCTGATACACCGTTGCTTTCCTGTGATTACTACTGCGTATGCGCGAAAAAGTCACCCGGCCTACCATCACTGACTTGAGGATCTCTATAGTGCGTTCGAAAATATGTTTGGTTGGTGTTGGGATAAAAGATAAAGTTGGCAGTATTAAAAAGTGATCCCAGTGCTGCGTTTCATTTCTCCCACTGGGATCACTAGGATTAAAAAAATTTGCTACTTGAGATATTAAAAGTGGTAAATAAATAGTTAAATATATTTTATAATAATATGTTTAATAACATCACATATATTATTATTAATACGAACGTGTGTTTTATATTAATAATAATTATAATAAAGTGACATAATTTACCTAAAATGTGATTTAAATTCAATATTTGTATATCTGGTAACAACATTTTCCAAATAATCTGTTATTTTTGGTACCATTTTCCTTTCACCTCTATTGTTATTACCTCTATTTTCGAATAAAATATTTTGTAATTCTTCATTATTATCATCATTATCTGAAGAACTACTCGAAGATTCAAAAATGATGTTTTCGAGTAAAATATATTGTTCCATAATAATAATTAGTGTAATTCCAACACTTTCATATATTGTACATACAGTACAATACAATCCTAATGATCCGGGAGCGTCCCGTTTGACCACGTTGCGATTGACCACAGCCAATTATATCGACCTGTGCCTAGGGTAACCAGCAACGATTAACCAATCAGAGAGTCCTATTTTGAATTGGCCAATTGGCGACGTGGTCAATCGGGTGCCACCCTAATGATCCCAGTGGGAGAAACGAAACGCAGCACTGAGAGTTTTCAATACTGCCAACTTTATCTTTTTTCCCAACACCGACCAAACATATTTTCGAACGCACTACATGTCTTTTGAGTGTGGCAGCACACACACACACACACGCGCACACACACACACGCACACACACCACGCACGCGCGCACGACACACATACACAACATTTTTTGAATAAATAATATGTATACAGTTCGATGGATATAAAACACGTGGTGTGGTTAATTGATATTATATATACATCAGTTTGAAAAAATGCCGGCCAAAATAAAAAACAAAGTACTTACATATGAAGGTAGCAATTATCTTAGATATCGTTTACTACTATCCACATTATCTGGGAGACCAGTAAGAATTACAGATATCAGAACGAAAGATGACGATCCTGGTCTTAAAGGTTAGTAATTATCAAATATATAAAAATTACTATTCATATTAATATAACTATGTCTTGATACATTATTAAAATTATAATTATATTTTAATTGTATTATTATTTTTTGTATAATTTATATAACATAATATAGAATTAATTTTCTTTTCCAATTTTAAAAGCTTTTTTTTTAAGTGGCAAGGAATGGGGAAACTCATACTTCCATAAGCTGGAATGAAGGAATACCACATAATAATAACAATATAATTAAACCAAATTAATTGAATCAGAAAAAAATTTATACATATATATATATATATATATATATATATATACACATATACATATATATTCACAATATATATATATATATACATATATATTCACAATAACATATTTTCTAACAAATTAATATTTAAAACAATAACATTTACTTACAAAAATTTTATTAATTAACAATATTTTGTTTTAAAATAAGGATATTTTAACTATGATAAACTATAAAATAGAATTTTAATATTTTTATGATATATTTACTGTTGTTGTATAGTTGTGTATACACACACACACACACATACATACATACATACATACATACATATATAAATACATATATACTTTTTAATAATTATACTAATTGTTTTATACAGAATATGAGATTAGTTTTATTCGTCTGTTGGACAAGATCACTAATGGCACAAAAATTGAGGTAAATGAAACTGGCACCATTATATATTACAGTCCTGGTTTATTGAATGGTGGTGAATTGGAACATGACTGTAGCTTGCAAAGGGGTATTGGATATTACTTGGAAGGAATTATAATGCTCGCTCCATTTTGTAAAAATTGTATTAATTTAAAACTGAGAGGCGTGACCGATAACACTATAGGTATTACAAACATATATTATAAGCTTACACTTGTGTTATTAGAATAAATATAAATAATTGATATGATTTTTATTACTACAAGATCCATCAATAGATAGAATTCAGACTGCTGGTATACCAATCCTGAAAAAATTTCTAGCAGGTGATAATGATGTTGTATTAACTATCTGTAAGAGAGGTGCAGCGCCTTTAGGAGGAGGAGAAATACATTTCAAATGTCCCATTAGTCGTAATCTTAAAACAATTCAGGTAATATTTGTTGGTCTTTACGCATCGTACAGTTTTAGTTATATTGCGCCACATTTTGGTTTACATGTATATAGATGCAAGACAGTGGAATGGTGAAACGTATTAGGGGTACCGCATGCAGCATAAGAGTTTCTCCAGCAATTGCTAATCGTATTGTTGAATCGGCAAAAAGTGTTCTCCTCAAGTTTCTGCCAGATGTATACATTTACATTGATCATCGTAGAGGATCAACTAGTGGAAAATCCCCAGGTATAGATAAAATATGTATCTATTATTATGATTTATTATGTCAAATAGACTTTACTCTTTATTTGTGAGTTGTAATCTATTAAATATATCAGGTTTTGGAGTGACGTTGACAGCAGATACTACTAGGGAAGTATTTTTTAGTGGACAAGCATTTTCTCCATTAATGACAACAGGTTCATTGCCATGTATACCTGAAGATCTTGGCAAGGAAGCTGCAACGAAACTTTTAGATGAAATTCATAGGTAAAAGTTGCATCATACATATATATATATATATATTCTTTTTTTTTTTAAATTCTTTATTTAAATGATTTTATAATTGTATAGAAATGGCTGTATAGATTCTCCTTTTCAAAGTATGACTGCAGCATTTATGGCTCTTGGTAAAAAGGATGTTTGTAAAATTACAATGGGACCATTAACTCCAGTAACGTAAGTGTTATATTTTTTTTATTTTAATAAATTTTTTTTAAGTAAAATTATATGAACTTTCAGGATACAATTTTTACGCGATTTACGAGACTTTTTTGGAATTGTATTTAAAATAGAACCGATTAAAGAAGAAGATAAAATATTGCCACAAGTGTGTTTAACTTGTTTAGGGATAGGTTACACTAATATAAGTAAACGAACTTTGTAATGATAAAAACATTTTTATTGTAAATAAAGTTATATTGTAGATTTTTTTCCTCTTCTCATACATTTAATATATATTATTAATTACATTTAATATAAATTTAATTTAAATTTAATTAAATATATATTAAATACATTTAATATATATTTTATATATATATATATATATATATATATATATATATATATATGATTTATTTTTTACACAAGATTAGACTTAAAAGTGTCACGTTTATATAGTAATTTTATAATGTAAAATTTTGTAAATGCACTGATTTACATGGCCATTTATGGAATGATTCGAGTTTTAATTGTTTCCACTTGCTTTGATAAATTAGCGACCATTGTTTCCAGTCATAATATGTAATCTTTTTTGGATGTCTTATCTCATTATAATTATCTTGATATTTATCAAAAATTTGCAAAAAGGTTTGCAATAGCATTCGTCTACTTACAAATAAATTATTTCCTTTTTTCTTTTTTGTTACTCCTTGTTTTCTGCCTGCAGCTGCTACTTCTAATATACTATACGTAAAATCTGTTTTCAAATTGCATAAAAATAATTAAATAATATTACAAATATCTATTTCTGATACCTGTTCCTCACAGCACACCATATAATGCTTGTTGGACATGGATGTGATCTTTGTTGTCCCTTCTTATGTATAAAAGCAATTTTTGCTTGAAAAATTTTGGGTTTATCCATTTCATTGTTAAATCTTTTATATAACCCACGTTCCATGGCATCCAGAGAAAAAGGACAAGAACCTCCAATCGTGATACTCTTCAACTTTATTGGTGGTATCAGCAATGACAAAAGTGATCCTTGTAGGCCAAGAATAAGCCACCTAGACATATATTTTCAGTTTATAGATAATGCACACAATATTTATAAATAATTGTGTATATTTTGAACTTACTTTGCCATTTTATCAGAACAAGACAAACTGTTTGTGGGATTTCCTCTACCTGGTTTAGTACGCAATGGACCTATAGTATGATAATTCACACCAGGCAAACGAGAATCCTGTATCTCCTCCCCTTTCACACACTTTGCACCTGTTCTGTGTATATCTTTACAATACGATTCCACGATTGTATATCCACAAGTATCCTCGCGGATACGTCTAATTTTGTGCACAGGGACACCATTATCATAAATTTCGTGTTTAGGAAAAATAGAGCAATCTCCGCAAGGTGTTTGACTTGAAAAAAAATGAAAAGATACATTACTATTTAATTCAATTTTATTTTTGTGACTCCATGAGAAAACTGCACTTTCAGAACCATGTAAAGCCAAATCAATCTGATCATACAAGTAACGTATAAAGGCACGTCTAGCCAGAACTTCAGCATGAGAGTCGCTTAATCGAGAACCCCTTTTTTCTCGAGTATCATTAATTAATTCCGATTCTCCTAGACATTTTGTTCCAGTGGCAAGTGCTACCAGAGACAATGATCCAATAGCATTTTCTAAAATTATGCCAGATAGAACAGTCCATTCATGAGCGTCCGGCTTACCAGTTTTTTTGAAGAAATTATATTTTTCTATACACAGTTTGGCTACATTGTCTGCGAAATCTTCCATTATTTGGTATAATTTGTTATTCATTATTGCATGTGATTTGACTTTTACTCATAATATCCTCATGTAACTTTTTCTTCTTCTTCTTCTTTACGACTTGAGTTGAAAGTATATGCCAGTTGGTACTGATTTAAAATTAATTTGCTAATATAAATGAAGTAGCTAATTAAAATAAATATAAGCTGTAGAGAGATGGTTCTCTTGGAAAGAGGGTAAAGCAAACAAAAAATGTAGTCTCCATTACAATGACTCTCAGGTGTATCTACAATTCAATCGTACAGTTGTATCGATGGTCGCTTGAGATGATAATTTCGGTGGCAAAGCAGACGTAGTAGGTACAATTTCGGGCGCAATAGATTCAATTTCTATTCGAGTGAATACTGAAATAAGGAAATAACCATTTCAAGCAACCATCGATATATAACTGTGGCTGCGTTCGCTTTCCACGCTCATGCGCTGTGAGCATCATTCTTTATTACACATCGAATATCAAACAAAGATAGAGCGAAAACTGCTTTCAGCGCTAAAACCATCAAAACGAACGGGTGGCACCCGATTGATCACGTCGCCAATTGGCCAATTCAAAATAGGACTCTCTGATTGGTTAATCGTTGCTGGTTATCCTAGGCACAGGTCGATATAATTGGCTGTGGTCAATCGCAACGTGGTCAAACGGAACGCTCCCAAACGAACGCAGAACAATACATACAACTGAAGGTCATTCTACAATGGCCGTAGCATAAGGTTGTAAGGCGTAAGACTCAAGAAATTGACCAATCACAGTCGAGTATTAAGAGAATACTCGACTGTGATTGGTCAATTTTTTGAGTCTTATGCCTTACACCTTATGCTGCGGCCATTGTAGAATGGCCTTAAGGAGTTAGCAGTCTAGTATATATAGAAGCCTGTGGTTCCGAGTTAAGCTTAAAGCACATAAAATAGCATAGGCGCATAACCATAAGCATAAGGAATTTGATTGGTCCACAAATATATGCATAAGAAAATAAACCAATCAATTTTCCTATGCTTATGGTTATGTGCTTCTGCAATTTTATGTGCTTCCACCTTTAGGGATTCCGTGTGCACGCATGTGCGGCTCTGCCTTTGCGCGACCATAAAAATACAATGAGTCTGTTCTTTTTAGCTGCACTACTGCACTAGTGCAATAAGTTAGAAAGAGACAAACATAGTTTTTTTCACTCTAAGGCCCAGTTCCACAATCCAGTTAATCCGAGTTTAAGTAGTGAATGGACAAATCAGGACCCAGTTTAACGTATTAAACTCGGGGTGTTTACGACAATTAATCGGATCTCTGATCGGACTGAGCAGTGGTACTCAGCGATAGACTTCCTAAATTTCCCTAGACTAATCCGGATCAATGATGTGTCTCTGAAGTAATCGAATTAGATTAACAACTTATTCTTATTTTATAGAAAACATCTTATTCCAGTAAAATATATTTGTTTATTAATATATATTTGATAAATAAAGATATATTAATTAAAAGAATAATAAAGTATCTTCTATAATTTCTTATGATGTTTTTCACAATTTTTTCGATCAGCTCGACCGCAATTTCTTTCGATGACTGTTAATCTAATTCGATTACTTCAGAGACACATCATTGATCCGGATTAGTCTAGGGAAATTTAGAAAGCTATCTATCGCTGAGTACCACTGTTCAGTCTGATCAAAGATCCGATTAATTGTCGTAAACACCCTCGGATTAACTCGAGTTGTGGAACCGCCTAATTGCACTAATGCAGCAGTGCAGCTAAAAGGAACAAACCCAATGTAATTTCAAAAGTCGCGTATGCGCAGAACCGCATATGCGCGCGCACGGAATCCCTAATCTCACTGAATCGAAGACCGAAGCAGCGTCATCTATCAGATCTATCCTAGATCTGAATAAAATTGGTTTTTTTGTAGTAAAATGTCTATGATATTTCGGAGAATTATTAACAAGTTACAAGGAGTCAGCAGTCAAACATTAAAATATTGCACAATCGTAGAAAATCAAACTATCAAAGATATTACACCAATTATATCAAAGATACAATATGATGATGAAACCAACGTTTATCAGAAACCTCGACAAGTATGGTTGGAAAATTTAGATACTGTAGAGGAGAAAAAATTAGGTTTAATTACTTTACATCCACACATCTATGCGGCTGCACCTCGTATCGATATCATTCATCAGAATGTGAGATGGCAAAAAATGTACCGTTGGGTGGTGAGTAAAAGTATGATTTTATCTGTATATATTACAAATAAAAATAGTATTGTTCATTACATTTTTTTCATGTCAGTGTTATGCACATACGAAAACGCGCGCTGAAGTCAGAGGCGGTGGTAGGAAGCCTTGGCCACAGAAAGGCACAGGTCGAGCTCGCCACGGAAGTATACGTTCACCGCTATGGAGAGGTGGTGGAATAGCACATGGTCCTCGTTCTCCCACAACACATTTTTACATGTTGCCATTTTATACTCGAGTAGCAGGTCTTACATCGACGCTCTCCGTGAAACTTGCGCAAGATGATCTGCATATAGTTAACGAACTAGAAATTCCAACATCTGAACCCTCTTACATAGAGCAATTAATAGAGAAGAGAAATTGGGGGCCATCGGTTCTTTTTGTGGATAGTTACGATATTATGCCTACAAATATCACGCTAGCTACCGATGAAATTAAGCATGTTAATCTGATGCCTGTTTATGGTAAGTGTAATTTGAACAATATCATGTATACATTATATAGTATATCTTGATATTTGATCAATTTAATCATGTAAATTGTCTCTAAATATACATGTAGATTAAATTATTAAAATCTTTGAGAATTGCATTCTTGTCCATAATCAAGTCTGCAATTTATCGAGGCAATGCATTTATATCCAAGATTTTCCTAAATTTATTAAAATGCAATGTTTAAATCAAGTATTTCCTGTTATATATTTAATACAAATAACATATTTATCACTGATATACTTATCACCTTCTTGACAATGAGAAACATAGGATTTCATTGTTAATATGCATTCAACATATATTATATTATATGAATTGCAGCAGCAATTGTAGGATATATTTGAAAAAATAGTAAAATAAAATTCTTCCCATTATAAAATTTTGCTTTTGAAAGAATCGATTTTAAAACATGAAAAATTAATATATTTACATTTTTTTAAGCTTGAATGGCCTTTAACAATTTTGTGCCCTACATTGTTAAATTTCATGCTAGATAATTAATATGTTCATACAACCATAGACGCCAAATTATTTTATTATATTAAAATTTTATTTAATAATTTAAAATATTTAAAATTATTGAAGAAATGTTATGTATTTAAATGCATACATAATACATGTAGTAGTATATGACTCTTAAAATCAATTTGATAAAAGTTATAATATATCACTAAAGAGTACACTACAATTGTATTTACTCCGTTATATTCCATTATATATAAAATTATTACATCAATATTTTTTTTATAAATACACAGGTCTAAATGTGTACAGTATGCTGAAACACAATACTCTGGTACTTACAGAGAAAGCAGCCAGATTAATAGAAGAAAAATTGCTTTATCAATTACATAGAACGGATGTTAAAGAATTATCACGTCCATTCAAACTTAATCAACAATAAAAAACTGTTTTTAAAAACTTGTGTATTACTGTTTTCATATATAAACAATTGTTTCTCTGTGCATATATTTTAAATATTTGTACTTAAAATATTTATGTCTTAATAACATTGTCATTTAAAAAAAAATATTATCATATACAATATAATCTAATTATTGTCATTATACATTATATATCAGTTTTTTACATATTTTTAAAACAACTATCATAGTAAAACACTTAAAACAGCTATTACCATTTTCCCTTTAACATTGATGTACTTGTGGATTTTCTTAAAAGTGGCTGAAATTAAAAGTCTTTAATAATAACAAACATTTCATTACTATTTTTCATCAGTGTATGAGTCAATATTATGATTTGTTACATACTTACCATAGGATGTGGATCTGTACCAAGCATCTTTTCCCGTACAGCCCATCTTACTTTTGAATGTTTTGCTTCTCCAGGGAAAGATATTTGTTTCCATTCTTGTTGATACTTTTGATAAAGAGCAACTGGGTCACATTTCTTATTGATGATTTTTTGTGCTTGTGGTTGCAATCTCCATGGACGAATAACTAAATATAAACACAGCTTGAAATTTACAAAATAAATATATATGTAGTATTTTAAACACACACATAAAGTGCGCATTTATCGATGACAATGTATAGCTTACACGATTTATGTCTGGAATTAATAGATGATCTTGCAGATAAAATATTTTGCATATGCACATTTCCAGTTGGATCCGATGCTACACTCTTTGATTCTGATCCACTTACACAATTTAATAATCTAGGTTTACATATCGCGTGCTCAAATACTGAAGTTATTGGTTTTACTTGATCCGCTCTTAAATTAAGCTTGTATTTTTCAGTCAAATAATCATCTCTTGTTAAGCATTTAGAAACATTTTGTCTATTTTCATTTTTTGAACATCTTATAATTGGGAAAGGTTTAACATTAACACAGTCTTGTTTGCAGCAAATCCTATCTGATTCGACTACTTGAACATCTTCTTTATGGTATTTTATTGTTGACACTTTTTCATTTGATTTTATCGCAGTTGTTGTAGTATGTTTCGAAACATCTTTCTGAATTTCTTCTTCGGATATCTTAGGAATGCATTTTATCTTAACTCTTATCAATGATTCATCGTCATTGGAATTTGATGATTCAGAGGGAACATTAATTAAGGAATAATCTGTATCTTGGTACCTATGAGATGCTTCCTTAATCAGAGTCTGTTGTTTGCTAATTATTTTTGTTTTAATCTCTTCTTTTCGTTGTTGTTTTTCGCGCTCTTTTATTTTTCTGTAGATTTTCAAATCTAGAAAATAAAATCATAACTTGTAACAAGAGAGATATCTTGCAAAATATGTATCGATTTTATTGCAATAAGATAATTTTCAATTCTTAGGAACATAAATAGGGAGGTAAAAAAATCAGTGAATCAGGCCGATGCACTTACCTTTCATAAAAGCTTTTAATTGAGCCGCGGTAATGCCAACGAATCCTAATGAATTCAAAAGAACGAGAACTTCTCGTGGATCATCTTTAATCTCCGACATAATACACATACAAACTGTATTAATTTGGAGAGATTTCAAATATACTACGATATGCTCTTTCTTTTTTCTTTTTTCTTTTCATTTACTACAAACCAACTATAAAATGCAGTACGCGTTTTTACCGGAGATATTATATGATATAAACCGCATTTTTTCTGTTTTAAATAAAAAAAAAAACGTTAAGATCCATCAGTGTTGTAAAGTGGAGCGACGAATCTCGCACATGCGCAATGATGCGAATTCTGGGGGTATCCCGATTGGACACAGCCAATCATATCAACCGATGCCTAGAGTAACCAGCACGATTAGCCAATCAAACCAGTGGTGTCCAAACGAGTGTCATCCGCAAATTCCAATATACTTAAAACCGTAATCACACTACAAGTTGCGGGCTCGGTTGCGGTTGAAATTGACCAATCAGAGTAGCCGGGCGACAAATTGCTTGATTGGACAATTTTAACTGCAACCAAGACCACAACCCGTAGTATGAAGCCAGCGGCACACGATGCTTGTTTTCGTGATGGATTGCATGCGAGCATTACGATGATTTGACAATTCTTTAATATCGAAATTACGATTGGTCAATTAAGACGCTCACATGCGATCTAGTACGAAAAATCGTACGGTGTGCCACAGGCTTGATTACGGCTTAAAATCCGTATTACACTAGTAGCGTTTTTCGAGTAATCGGGTTCAATCGCTCGTGATAATTTACTGGATGCCATTGACCAATCACAGCCATTCTTCTGAAAAATATAACCATACATGTATATATGTACACTGCGCGACAACGATTCGTTCCTCGGCCCCTCTCTCGCGGGGGCAGGGGAGCGTAGAAGTGACCAATCAGCTGGCAGCGTAGCAATGGCTGATTGGTTAGAGGCTACGCTCTCCTTGCCTCGCGAGAGGGACCACGGAACGAATCGTTGTCGCGCAGTGTACACTGTGGGACATACATGTATATATGTCCCCACCACGAGAAAAAAGAGAAGGACAGAGATACCCGAAATCATTTCTCTGTCCTTTAAATCTTTCAACCCTGCCTCTTACGATAGGGGTCGGTCTATTATATTAGTGCGTTCGAAAATATGTTTGGTTGGTGTTGGGAAAAAAGATAAAGTTGGCAGTATTGACAACTCCCAGTGCTGCGTTTTGTTTCTCCCACTGGGATCACTAAGATTTAAAAAAATTGCTACTTGAGATATTAAGAGGTAAATAAGTAGTTAAATATATTTTATAATAATATGTTTAATAACATCACATATATTATTATTAATACGAACGTATGTTTTATATTAATAATGCCATAATTATAATAAAATGACATGATTTACCTAAAATGTGATTTAAATTCAATATTTGTATATAATATCTGGTAACAATATTTTCCAAATAATCTGTTATTTTTGGTACTATTTTCTTTTCACCTCTATTGTTATTACCTCTATTTTCGAATAAAATATTTTGTAATTCTTCATTATTATCATCTCACTATCTAAAGAAGAACTACTCGAAGATTCAAAAATGATGTTTTCGAGTAAAATATATTGTTCCATAATAATAATTAATGTAATTGCAACACTTTCATATATTGTACATACGGTACAATACAATTCTAATGATCCCAGTGGGAGAAACAAAATCAGAAAAGAATTTTGAATACAAATCTCGAAAGAAATTAAGTTACGATTATTATATTATGCGACGTAAAAATTACATATATACATATAAAAATGCCTCTTCGATATGTACATAATGTAAAAAGACAAGGTGTTTCATTGCTCATTTCATGACGGCCGTAATGATCAAGCATTGAGCCAATTGAATTTTTGCCCCAATTTTTTCACAATCTTTTCTTTTCATATGTCAGTTTCATAACAACATATCTTCACATATCTAAAGCCGGGTCTATTATTTCATAAATAATCAACCATGATTGGTCACGTTGCCTACGACTTACGACTTGCGACGTTACGATACGACCAATGTAGTTCCGGCTTAATATCTAGTTTTTAGCAGTCATGTTGCTTTTTGTATTTGGGACTACTTGCTGATTGGTCAACACTGCACATCTCAGAAATGAAACACAGTGGGTCTGTTCTTTTTAGCTGCACTAGTGCAATAAGTTAGAAAGAGATAAACATACTTTCTTTCACTCTAGTGCAGCAGTGCAGCTAAAAAGAACGGACCCCTTGTCATTGGGTCTGTTCTTTTCAGCTGCGCTGCTGCACTAGTGCAATTAGTTGGAGTGAAAGAAAGCATGTTTATCTCTTTCTAACTTATTGCACTAGTGCAGCAGTGCAGCTGAAAAGAACAGACCCTTTTTACGTCATGAACATGTATACATATTTGATATTCAATAAATAAGTAAAATAATGTGCTATAAAGATATGTATTATAATTATAACGAAACAACTGAATATGACTCAATAGAAAAGAATATGAGATACAATTTTACAGATTATATATAAGTTTTTTCTATTCGTACAATATCTACGAATTTATTGAATATGTTAGAATTGGGAAGAAATATAATCTTTGTCATAATATATATATATATATATATATATATATATATATATATATATATATATATATATATCGAATATATAAATTATTGAAAAATGATACGCTATCATAAACAAATCTTGGTCAGAAATAAATTCACATTTGATTTGGGTACTTTAACAGAGGCTGTATAACAGATGGGTTGTATTTGAGAGAATATTTAACAGAGGTAAAAAAAATTCGGCGAGTTAAAAAAAAAATTAGATACGAAAAAATGAGAGATTTTGAGATGTAGCTCTAAAATTCAACGTGCTAAAATTGAAATTGATAATCATTGTGGAATTCCGATGTATTCTCCATGTTACAAAAAATATCTTTGCATATAAAAATCATAACGTCTTACTTTACTAATAATTGCAATTAAAACTTTTACATTAATATCAATAATATAAACTTCTTTCAAGTTAGTAGTATAGATATTGCATTCTATATAACGTATTTCTAGACATGGATGGAACTTGATAAAGTTCAATCTAGCGACTCTAGGTAGAATGCGCGCAAAGATGTACGATTATTTTTCTGTGCTGTTTATATAAATACGATATACTAATTAACGCATTTCTATATAATAATGTACATAAAATATATCAAAATGCAGCAACACTTGCAATGAAACTTTACTAGCGTTATCATCACTTTTGAAGACTGCATTAGGAATATTCTTCGGGTATATTCAGAGAGTAACAAATTATATATGTGTATATATACAAACAATTAATATTTATTATTCCAATATTAAAAGTAATGAGCTGTTTTCGTTTCTTAGATCTTGTTGAACGAAGCAATGTCTACAGATTGAACTAGATCCTCGAATTCTTGAATCTGTTCGATCAACAAGTCCACCGACACTTTTTCGTCCTCTATCACGCACATTATTTGTAATTTATTTATGCCATAACCCACTGGGACAAGTTTCGCTATAAAAATATAAAATTTATTTAATAATTTGCTCGCACAAGAAATCTCCATCGTGTACGTACACATTAATAAAGCGCGAAGGCGAAGACAAGACTTACATGCACCCCAAACAAGACCGTCCATCTGGATCGATCTTACCGCATTTTCCATTTCTTTCATATCCGTTTCGTCTCCCCAGCTCTTTACGTCTAACACGATACTCGATTTGGCGATAACTGCGGGTTTTTTTGATTTTTTCTCCGCATATGCCTTTAACCTTTCCTCTCTGATTTTTGCAGCTTCTGCATCCTCTTCCTCATCCGAACCGAATAAATCTAAGTCGTCGTCATCCTCGCTGGCCTTTGCCGTAGACGAGGTCGGAGCAGTAGCGGTACTAAAGATGGAAGGAGTTTTCTTTTCTCCAGGAAGCGACTTAAGATCGTAAGATTTTATATGGTTGTGCCAACGGAGTACATGAGGATTCGAAGATGTTGGTACTTTTCCAAGTGCCTCGAGTACCGCAACATCAGCTTGAGTTGGTTGCCACCTATTGGGTGTAAATTCTTTTATATCATACATTTTGTATTTTAAAGCCGATCCTTATTTGCAATGTTGGAAATTTATACAAGGCATGTTTGTCAAAAATAAAACTAATATATTTTCTTATACCGTGTTCCAACATGTATCGATTAGATTATATTAGATATAGGACTGACACAACGTTTTAAACTATCATCCTTGTACAAATTATAAGGTAAATGAGATTTAGAAACTAGAGATAAATATATAAAATTGAAAAAAATACGAGAGAATAAGAAAATTATAGAGACTCTTTCGCATTAAATCTTCGTAAATATTCAAACTAGAAAAGACCAAATCGTTTATACTTAACGTGAATAAAATATTTCTTGTCTTAAAAAAAAAAAAATAGAATATATGTACATACAATATATAACCAAGTAACAAATTTAAAGTACAGTTTGACGTCTCGTACATCTGTGAGAAGAACCGTCAAGTATCTTTCTTAATCTCTCACATGTATGCGAAAATAGGGCTGTATTTGCGTGAAAGAGAGGAAGAAGATGAAAGAAGAGACGTAAAAATAAGTACAAGGCGTGCGTGACTGTACGTGCGTGCGCTATCCGCATACGTGTGTGCGTGTTCATTTTTGGTGACACATATCCATACGCGATACTGGAAATATATGCTGCGACCCGCCTCCCGACATCGGCGAGATCGGCGGCTCTAAGCAGGAAGATATTGACGACTGAGATTCGCGACGGGAATAGGTCACCCTTTACCGGAACGTTGCGGAAAAATACGCCGGACGGGAGGAGAGAATCCGCCGACATGCCGCGGTAAGCGGAGCACGTGTACCGGAGACGTGTCGAAGTCGCGCATGGGATACGCTACAAGTAGGCTCACCCGTCGATGTAACTACGATCGGCGAGATAGGTATTGAGATCCTCGACGCCTTTATCGGTCTTCAGGTCACCGACGGCCATGGCGAGAGCGTGTTCCGGACGAGTAAATAGTCGGACCGAGAACGAGCACGTCGAATCAGCGGTCAGCGGGGACCCTTTCGTCTTCGTCCGGTCGCCGGAAGAGAGAGCTGCGTGCGTCGCGAGCGCGGCGATTCTAGGCGATTCTGCTCGACGTGACGTTCGTTCCGGTCGGTCATCTTCTCGGCTCACGAAAATACCTAGCGCTAATGAAATCTAGGGAATATCGATGTCAGAGATGTGGCACTTTCGAATGGCTGTGATTGGTCAATGACGTCTAGTAAACTACCGGGGTCGAATCAAACCCGACCATTCGAAAACGCCAATAGACGAATGAGAGACGACCAATCGAAACGGACGACGATAGATTGTGAGGAAAAACAGCCAATCATCACGCACATCGGCACGAATGATTTTCGATTGATTTCTTCCTTCGTCCATATACATGTATATACCATGTATGTACAACTGATTTATAAATTAATTTTACGGAAATAAGAGAGAAATTTATAAAGATGAGAAATCACCGATCAAAGTCCGTGAGACTGTCTGCGACATAATTAATATCGCATTTTATCTCGGAGGCAAAATTCACGCAGTGACGCAAAAGTAATAACGCATATATTTTTCACAAACTCCTCGCTCCCCGCTACTACAGTCGCCACTTGTCATTGCTCGTCATGAGCTCAGCGCGGATCGTTGGATGCTTCTGACGTTTAGAGGAGGTATTTAAAAAATGATTGTGCGTCATTTTATTCGATCGGGATTTGTAATCTCGGTGAAAGAATACTCTCGTTACTCTTTATCGCATAAAGATGTTTATTATTACACTACGATAACGCCATGTCTCAAAGCATATGTGTCTTTATATTCTTTTTGCTTATTTATAGTCTCCCGGTTAGGTTAATTCGCCATTGATTTATACGAGGTTTGTTTATTACATAATAAAGTGTGACTGCAACTGATGTTGATAGTTTGGCGCAACGAGATGTTGAGGGTACCGGTTGTAAGGGCCACAGGCCTGATAAATGGAAGGCTGTGCGCCGTCAGTCTTCATACAACATCGAACAAATCGCAGCAGGAATTGGTCGAGCTCTTTATCGATGACAAGCCTGTACAAGTACCACCGGGAACGACAGTCTTACAAGTTTGTGTCGAAACATTTGTGTTTCTCCTTGTATATTTTCATTTCTCTCTTTGATTATCTCGCTACGAGGAATAATGCAATGTCTAAATATTGCATCGATGTGTATTACCTCTGGCGTCAAACGGAAATAGATATAAACTTTATTAAATTGTAAAACTTTAATAATTTGCATTTTATATACACTACTGATATTTCTTACTTGAAATAATAAGCACTTTTGTTTTTCTGTAAAAAAAATTATGGAAATCTCTTAATCATTTTCATAGAAATTATAATTTTAGATGACAAACAATGAAAGAAGATTCTTATTGCAAATATTATTGCAAAGTACACGTTGCATTTATATACTTGAAATCAATAATGTATAATAAAAGAGAGATGTGTGTAAATTCACATTTATATGACTTTTAGGCTGCTGCCAAAGTGGGTATTGAAATACCAAGATTCTGCTATCATGAACGTCTTGCTGTAGCTGGTAATTGCAGGATGTGTCTTGTCGAAATAGAGAAGCAAGTTAAGGTATATAATAAAAAATTAAACTAAAACAGATAAAAGAAGAAATGATATATCCATATTACGTACCTTATTTTATCTTTTTATTTTACAGCCAGTTGCCGCGTGCGCTATGCCAGTGATGAAAGGTTGGAAAGTGAAAACCAACTCGGATCTGACACGAAAAGCTCGCGAAGGTGTAATGGAATTTTTGTTGGTTAATCATCCATTGGACTGTCCAATCTGTGACCAGGGTGGAGAGTGCGATTTACAAGATCAAAGTATGGCTTTTGGATCTGACAGAAGCAGATTCGTCGATATTAATTACTCTGGGAAAAGAGCAGTGGAGGATAAAGACATTGGACCCTTAATCAAGACAGTTATGACACGCTGCATACATTGCACGAGATGTATTCGATTTGCCTCGGAAATAGCTGGTATCGATGATTTGGGAACTACTGGTCGTGGTAATGATATGCAGGTATATTTAACATTTAATTTATATACTTTGATAATGTATAATATAGGAACATAGCTTATATTGCAAACTATGCCGCTTGACAAAATAAGATTATCCCCATTTAGTTTTATCATATTGATCAAGATTGTATCAAACTTTTAATTTTTTAAAGGTGTTTTGAGCAATTTAGAAATATATTTTGTACAAAAATGAATAATTGTTTTATATGATCATACAATTGTTTACGATACGAAAATTATCCCAAGGAATTTATTTATACAACAGTTATATAATAATTTTAAAGGTAGGAACATACGTCGAAAAGATGTTCTTATCAGAATTGTCTGGCAATATCATTGATCTTTGTCCCGTGGGTGCATTAACTAGTAAGCCATACGCATTTGTTGCCCGTCCATGGGAAACACGTCGCACCGACAGTATTGACGTTCACGATGCCGTTGGTAGTAACATAGTTGTCTCTCACAGAACTGGTGAGGTTTTGAGAATACTACCGAGAGTAAACGAGGTAAACATTCTTATTATTTTGCGGCAAAAATATTATAAAGAGCATGTGATTCTGTTATGTACTATTAATAATAATTTTACAATTATTGATAGGAAGTGAACGAGGAATGGCTCTCTGACAAAGCCCGTTTTTCATACGATGGACTCAAAAGACAAAGACTCATTACGCCAATGATGAAGATTAATGGACAATTACAAGCTGTAGATTGGGAAGATGCGCTTGTTGCTGGTAATATTGAATTTATTATACATTTATATCTGCTAAATTCGTTACGTTTTATTAATTTGGACTATACATGTAACATCCTTATAATTAGCCGCTAGATCTATAGCAAATGTGTCGGCGAATAAATGTGCCGCGATTGCTGGGAAATTGGCAGATGCAGAGGCTCTTATTGCCATGAAAGATTTAGTGAACAAATTGGGTAGCGAAAGTCTAGCCACGGAACAACGTTTCCCGAATGATGGATCAGGCATCGATCTTAGAAGTAGTTATCTATTAAATAACACCATCGCTGCGATCGAAGATGCAGATGTCGTAGTATTGATTGGTACAAACCCGAGATACGAAGCACCGCTAGTAAATACGCGTCTCAGGAAGGGCTATCTACATGGCGAACAAACAATTGCTCTTATTGGTCCAGACGTAGATTTAACGTACGAACATGAGGTATTAATCTTTTTTTCTAATTTTACTTTATATTTCTTCCGTAATCTTACAAAATACAACGTCTTTTTGTTTTTTAGCACCTGGGAGAATCCTTCGACGTAATAACGAAATTACGTAACGATTCGCATCCATTCTCCGCAACTCTGAAAGAAGCTAAGAAACCACTTGTTATCTTAGGTGTCGATCAGCTAACTCGAAAGGACGGAGCTAAGATTCTCTATGAAACGCAAGCACTGGCGAAAGCTTTAGGAGATAACTCGAAAGTAAATTTCTTTTATATGATAATTTTATAGAAATTGTAATATAAGTATTTATACAAGTATTTGTATAAATATTTATCTTTTTTGGACTTTTTTTAGGCTCCTCAGGACTGGAAGATCTTAAATATACTACATACAAATGCTTCTCAAGTCGCCGCCTTAGATGTCGGTTATAGTTCGACTGTAGAAGAAATCAAAGAGCAACAACCGAATGTTCTATTTCTTTTGGGTGCAGACGATGCAAATATTAAGAAAGAAGATTTTCCAAACACATTTATCATTTATATAGGTATGTATATAGATGTAACAATGCTGAAAAGAATTTACTACTAACATAAATTTATTATATATATTATATCACATATAATTATATTAATTTTATAAAATTAACTTGTATATTTGTCAAAATGAGATATATAAACATAATTAATGATATAGATTTATCTCATGTACACTATTAATTTTTAATTAACTGTAATTACATCAAATGTTATTTATGATTTTAGGGAGTCATGGCGACGTCGGAGCGGCTATTGCGGATGTTATATTAGCTGGAGCAGCATACACTGAAAAAGTTGCAAGTTATGTTAATACAGAAGGACGCTCCCAACAAACTTGCGCGGCAATTACACCGCCTGGTTTAGCACGTCCAGATTGGAAAATTATTCGCGCCCTTTCCGAGGTATAATAAATAAATACTCGCAGCAAAATATTTAAAAATATTAAGAGCATTAAATAAGTAATCAAGATATATATATACACACACACACACAAACACACACAAATAGTAATTATACGCTTTGTTAAATTATAGATGGCCGGTATTACTTTACCATATGATAATTTAAATGAAATAAGATTCAGGCTTGAAGAAGTTGCACCACATCTGGTACGATATGGTAACGTTGAACCAGCCAATTTCTTTACGCAAGCTTTTGAGATTGCTAAGGTTTGTATCTTGAGAGATAGTATCTTAGAGATGCAATGAAATTCTTAAATGAAAGATATATGAGAACAACATTATTTATATATATATATATATATATGTTGTTTATATGATGTAGCAACAATCTGGAGAATCATTTTTGCCAGACCCTGTAGATATCAAACACAAGACATTGGATCAGTTTTTCATGACTGATGTAGTATCACGAGCGTCCCTAACTATGGCAAAGTGTATTCAAGCAGTCATTAAACAACGACAAAGTGCAGTATAAATATTATATTAAATAAAATTCTCATCTGTGCTAGTTATTTGGTAATACTGGCTAGATGTTAGTAGCCAGTAATAAAAGAATTACAAAAACGAAGCATTAAAATGTATTTATAGAACTCTGTATATTAAATATAAACTCTGAAAATTGGAATCTATAAATATTGATTCTATCCCATTAATTGTATATTCGTTGTTATTATGATAATATAAGTTATTTAAAATAAATGTAATAAATTTTATTTTTGCTTTGGGTAATTTTCTATATACAAATATCGCTAGTATGTAGAATGTGTACTTCAATATATATATTAAATTATATTGAATATATTACAGGAATGTTTCGTGCGGTAATTTTTTCATCACTAACGCAATCTACACAACAGTTATATAATTTAAGAAAAAATCTCAAAACAAAACGCAAACTCATTGAATACTTGAAGAAAAAACACATTAGAACATAATTGTATGAGAGTAAAATAACATAAATTCATTTCATTTAAAACATTTCTTCATTAAATATTTAATTTGTAATTTCAGCTTCTGAGAAATACTGACATCCGTTGCGCTTAGCAACTGTTATACCTGTATATACATTTGAATATACTTCATATTTTTACAATATTTATAACATAAAATGAAATTTTATGGAAAAAGAAATGTTTATTATATATATAAAAAAATCTGCTATTAATTTATCTGGAACATCAATTAGAGAATGTCTTAATTACTTGATTCTGGTTGATCATCTGTATCAAGTTCACCTGAACTTTCATCAGATTCGACCTAAAAATGAGATTAGTTACATGTTATTTTCAATGTTATATTGCGTAAGTGATTTCATAAAGCTGGCTTACCTTATCACCCAACTCGGTTAATCTTTCTTTATACAGCATAATTTTACTATCTTGATCAGTCAAAAGTATTAAAAGATCTTCTTGATCTTTTTTCAATTTTTCAAGTTCATCTATCTTCGATTTTAACTGATACTCTAATTCCGATTCCTTTTTTTCATTATTTTTCTCTTTGTGCTCTTGTGACACGTGTACATATTCAGCTAAACGCTTTTCTAAATTTGCAACCATTGTTTTATATGTTTGCAATTCTTTTTCCATATCTATACTGTTACTAGAAGCAATTGTCTCCTTTCCATCTCCTATATTCGTTTGTGCCGCTCGAAGAACCAAATTTTGATCTCGTAAATGACTAACGGTCGATCGAAGTTCTTGCAGTTGTGCCTGTAATAATAGCAGTTAAAATAGATATTAATTATTAGCAGTAAAAATAGATATTAATTATACATATACACACTTGGAAAAATTGTTTAATACCTCAAGTTCTTGTTTTTCTTTTAATAGAACATCATTAGCTTGATTTAACTTTTGAATTTGCACATCTTGCTCTCTTATAAGATCTTTATATTGCAAAACTAATGTATTGTCAGATAAGCTCATAGATAACTGACTTCTGTTCTGATGTTCATTATTGGCATCTATTATTGATTTTATTACAACACCTGAAAGAAAAAAAAATCTTACTTACATTTCTAAACGAAACTGAGAATGTTAAATTTCCTTTAATTTCATTATAAAAGCTTTAACAAAGATATCAACACATTTGACATGAAGTTATAAAATATTGTATACGATATAAACGAGTGTACCTTCTAAACTTTTCAGCAATCTGCAAAATTCGTGGTCCAATAAGAGCTCTGACGGGTTTTTCGCAGACGGCTGCGGATGTTTTAGCGTTCGAGAATATATTTCGTGTCTGGCAATACCACCAATCGCATCTTGAAATTTTTCCACACCTATTCTATTCTCAATTAAATTGCACACTTTTTCCTGCGAAAGATAATATTCACAAAATTATCTTATTATATCATTTTATACTTCAACTTTGCACTTGTAACCTTGTAAATAAACATCATTAACTACTTACCTTTGTATAGGTAGGTACACTATCGTCGTTGAAATGCACACAAATACCGATAAGTAAGGCGCACATACTCTGCAGTAAGGTTTCTTGTAAATCATCATTATTCTCTTGCGACGAAAGAAGAGCTGTTAAGTACGCCACCGAAGAGTCAATAGCTAGGAATGATTTTACTGCCAGCGGGCAATACGAGGTCCATCGACAGAGCAACATCAACAGGCCCAATTTACACTGTGTCTTATTACCCTGTTGCAACAACATAACGCATTGCTGCATAAGTGTTACTGGTGGCTTTCCAATATTGGTTGCGAGAAGCACTCTTAAAAGCTGTTCCTTCTGGCTTATATTCTCGATCAAAGCATGAGATAACGCCACGGCAGAAAACCAATTCGATAGCGAATCTGTAGAAAATAATCCGCCGCACAGCAACTGTCCTAACAACAAATACAGGATTTGCGTCATTTTATTGTCAAAATTTGTTGTTTTAAACAAATTTCTTTGTATTTGTAAAAAGATGTATATGGTCTATATATATTTTTCGATTTGTATATATGTTATATATATATGCTATATATATATATATATATATATATATATATATATATATATATATAGAATATACAGAATGTGTGTGTGTGTGTGTGTCATAAAATAATCATATTATGCATATATTAATCAAGATTCGTTTAAAAGAGCTTAATAAACCTGTAGTTAGCGACGGCGCCTCATTGCCTTGCGGTAATAGAGTTTGAATCAGCTGTGTTTGCCCCACCTCATTTTTGTACAAGAAGCATTGAAAGCAATATAATACGGAACACCGTAGAACAAATGGTTGCTTCTCATTCACCATAGACATCAATAACACAACAATGGCTGGTCTATAATGTAACTTATTTGTAAATTTAAATCGTTTTTCATTATCTCGAATGTCAATATATAAAATGATTATATATTTAAATCATACCTTGGAGGAGTACTCGGCGCCATGACACTAGCCAAAAATTCTTGATTACTAGCATTTCCTCTTATAACTTCTGCTACAGTGTTGATAGTTTCCGTTAATACATCCGCGGGCACTCCACCAGCCATTAGTATATCGCATAATGCTTGTAATAATCCACATGCTCTCATAGTTCGTTGACAAGCTGCAACTGCCTGCATATATGTAGGTATAACATTTTTTTAGTTATTAATGAGAAAATAAAGCATGTACATATACAAGAGGAATTTTGAAACTATGATAATGCTAATATTTTTACCTGACCAGGAGCACTTGGTGCTACCAACGCTCGTACAACTTGCACCATACAATGAACATTAGATACTTTCTGTGGACTCCAACCACCAAAATTATTATCTTCTATTTCACTGGGTATTTGAAACATTGGTGTCAACTTCTGAATATAGCTACCTGTATCGCGATACAAAAATTATGACACAGGGACGAGATTTATGAAAGAGATAAGAATTATGAAAAATTTAACTAGTAAGAATCGTACCTTCTTTAAAAAAATTTTGGTTGCTGACATTTCCCCTCAGAAGATTTAACATGAGTAAGAGGCAATCTTCCACGACAATACCACCATCTGCATTACCCTCTTGATCGATGACATCAAATATACGATCAAATGCATTTTCAAACGCTACTATTTTTTGAATATTTGCATTGCCTTTTGTTAATTGAATTAGTAGCAACAAAACCTAAGTAATAATATGATATGACAGTAAGAAGGCAATATATCCTTATATTGCAAAAATATTTACTTAAAAATTGTTAATTAATTATATTAACATACATCATTACGTATAACTTCTCTACTGTCGCTCAGCAAATCCATCAACTTAGAGACTCCCATAGGACTGATCAAAATTATTTCTTGAATATCTTTAGATCTGTTTCCCAATAAATGTGTCAACAATTTCAGTGCGGGCCACCTGACACGAAAATCAAACTCTTCAAGAAACATCAATATTAATCCAACGCTATCTGGATGTTTGATAAATATTTCTGTAAACTGTTCTCCTATTTTGCTTTTAGGACCATGTTTGTCCACTGAAAATGCAGAACAATAGATGAAAAATCAATAAAGTAAAAAATTAAGATCTTACCTTCCTCGTCGAATGTTTCGGGACTTGTTATATTACAGAGAGTGTCCAAAGCTAAACCAATTATTTCGCAATCTGTCCTATCCATTTCCAACACTTGTCTCAACGCATCCATCCCTTGAGCACCAACTTCCACGCGATACGTGCGTGATAACGCTTTGAGCGCACGACAAGCATCTCTTCTGTCATTGAGTAATGTCGAAGATTGCAATCTGTCTACTAATTTTTCCACCTGTAAGCAGATATATTGTAAGAGCAATCATGTTATGAGCAATTATTTGTAAATTATATTAATTTACTAGTACGATGGTAGAAGTTTGATGAAGTTTAATGACGACGAGGAATGATGGAGATATAACCTCTTGTGTATGAAAAACGCAATAATCGAATATTAACGTTTTCACTCACTGTATCGGCACCTGTCGGCTGCGTGCCAGCGGGAGCGGTTCCCAAAACGGACTTTAGACTGCTTTTAAAATACTCCATCCTTTCCCTCCGTCAAACTTTTAACGTTTGTTAATGTAAACTATATAAACGTCACACGTCGACATTTCAAACAATTCACCGGAGCAGAGGAGATGTCGGATTTCGTACGTATGTATGTACATACATACATACGTATATATGCGTGCATCAAGCCGAATCTACATTGGTCGTATCATAATAACGTCGCAAGTCGTAAATTGTAGGCAACGTGACCAACCATAGTCGATTATTTCAAAAATAATCAACCATGATTGGTTACGACTTGCGACGTTACGATACGACCAATGTAGATCCGGCTTAAAATCTCATTGTAGACGCCGCTTAACGCGCATGTGGGAAAAAGTTTCTCTGAGACAACGCTGGAATCATGTTTATGCACGTCTTTTAAATTCGCCGACGGTGTTTGGAGAAGCGATATCGAAGTTTTTTTATCATTAATTTTTTCCATCACTAGTTTTATAAGATAAGAAATAGCGGAATTTGAAAATGCCGATTTCTGCGTTAGATGTAAGAACAGCGAAATTAATTACTACTACGCAGATAATAACCTCCGTGTATGCTGTGGTCAAAGAATTGATGGAAAACGCGCTCGATGCCGATGCAGACAATATTGAGATCAATCTTGTATGTGTAACATACACTAAAATCCCGCATATTTATTTATGCATATCATATATTTTTACAAAGAAGGCGCCATTATTTATATAGATTTTCTTTGCCTAGATAGATAACGGTACATCTTTAATAGAAGTGAAGGATAATGGTCATGGCATATCTAAAGCAGATGTATTATACGTAGGATTACCTTCCTATACATCAAAAATATCAAGTTTCGAAGATCTCGGTAACACATACTTTTAGACTTATTTTATAATTTAAATATCTTTCTAAGATATTTATTTTTTTATACTATAAATTATCTCCAGACACGTTACAAACATTTGGATTTAGGGGAGAAGCTCTGAATGCATTATGCGCAGTAGCGGAAGTTATCATTATAACAAAAACGGAAGAAGATGTTGTTGGGACTTCATATATAATGAATCATATTGGACAAATTGTAAAACATGAATCTTGTCACAGAAGTACTGGTAAAAGTATTTTTTCAATTTTTCAATATTTTTGTTTTTAAATATATATATATATATATATATATATATATATATATATATATGTGTCATATTCATATTTTGATACATTATATATGCATTTTAGGAACTACTGTGCAAGCAAAAAATTTATTTAAACAAATGCCTGTAAGGAGACAAATAATGACCGATACGAGAAGAGCTAATCAAGTTATTAAATTATTGGAGACACTATTACATTGCTTTGGGATATGTAAATCAAATGTACGCATTCAGTTTAGGGTGAACAATAATCTTGTATTTACTAAACCAAGTCTAAATAACATTAAAGAAGCTGTGAATCATACACTTGGTAGAAAAATTATGTCGAATATGGAATGGATCGAGTCCAAGGATACAGATGTAAGTATATTTTTAAAATAATTTAAAAACAAACTGTTAGACATAATTGACATTTTGATCATTTTTCAGTTTGTTTTGCAATTAATGTTACCTTCAAAAAAGATACAGGATTTATCGGAAGTTTCTCATCCTGATTTACATTACATTTTTGTAAATAATAGACCCATTAAGCATAAAAGTCTTGAAAAGGTAATACATATAAAAAAATATTGATATTATATGACATATTTAAATAAAAAAAATTAATTTCTCTTTTGCACAACAAAAATATATTTGCCCACATTTGTCTATATATTTATTTCACTTATAGTTTAAAAAAAAGTTATACTATAAAAAAATATAAGTATACATATAATTTAATTAATACTAAATAAGAGATAATGAAAATTTATATTTTTTTTATGTATACAGCTAGTAAATAATATAATATTAGAATATTTTAAACAAGAGTCACATAGGAAAAAGGTGATATTTCTTGTGTATATTATTTTGAAACCAATAGATATTGATGTTAATCTGGAGCCAAATAAAGATACAATTCTTTTTAAAGATCAGGTAAGCAATACACAACACATTTCAATTTATATTAAATAAGAATGTTTATTCTTAATAAAACATTATTATAAAAGAATGATTGTATAATCCTTGTTCAGATATTTTCAAATAAATATTTTCAAAGTTGTAACTTTATAGAGATGTTTATAAAATATCATATACATCTTATACAATTGGTATTTGTAGAGTAAAGTATTTGATACTGTAGATAAATACATGAAAAAATATTATGGACTTAAATCTGTGGAGATTGTTGAACAAAATGTGTCTAATGACATATCCATCTGTTATGAAGATTATATACTTAATTCAAGTAAGGATATTATCGATACTGAGCGGCCTATGTGTAAAAAGCGAAAAATAGATGCTCAAGAGAAAGTTATACAAAAACATATCGTCAAAGAAAAGCCAGTGCACAATAATGGATATGAAACATCTCTACATAAACAACAGAATATCGATCTCATTCAAGATCAACAGCATTACAAAGATGCATTAGCTCATATACAAGCGCCAAATTTAAGTGACTCTGATTCAAATGATATTTTCCCTGCTGTAACTTCGTCCAATAAAATGTCAGCATATATTTATATATATAATAAATAATAATGAAAATATAATTAATTTAATATAATAAATATGTATATTCTGTGTGTGTGTGTGTGTGTGTGTGTCTATTTTATATATATATATATATATATATATATATATATGAATTTAAAAAATTTTTTTATCTGTAATATATATTAGTGTTTCAATAGCATCAAATAACTATATAAATATTAACAATATAAATTTTATAGGGAAGAATGTGAAACTTTGAGCCAGTTACCTGTTATAGATCTTGGAGAAGATTTTAATTATATAGAAGAGATTGGAAGCTGTAATATATCTGCAAATAAGAGTCAGGATAAATTAAATGATAATGAAGAAAAGAAACAAATTTCAATAGAGACATGGAGTAAAGGACATATCATTGGTCTCAAGGTAAAATATTTTTTCATGATATTTTTAAAAATGATTTTAAAAATATTCACGAATATTCTTTAATTTATATACACACATACATATGTGTGTGTGTGTGAACATTTGTTTGAATTATCTTATATTGTATCAAATACAATAGGGAGGTACAGATATACAATCTGATATTGCTATTGGAAAACAATCCAATGGTAACTTAAATTTAGACCGTCAGATTAATGAGATAGAAAAATCGAAATCAGATACAATGGAATTGGATAAAACACATGTTGATAATAAAGATCTTAAATTTATAAAACATGTTAGATCGCAAAGTATGTATATAATAATTTACATATTACTTAAATTATATTTTTTTTATATATGTTGCTTACATAGTTATAACTAAATTAATTGAATTAGACTGAATATAATAGAACAGAATAGAGCAAAATATGTATATAAAAGATTATGAAAATTACAATGTCAATAATTATCTTATATTTAGTTACAAAAGAAAATCCTACATTAACAGCAGCTCAAACTGCAAAAAAAATTACTGAATTCTGGAAACAACTATCATCCAATGAGCGTGGTTATTATCGAGATATTGCTCATAACAAAGAAAAAGAACAGCAGGCTAAAACAATTGAAGAAAGAGGTGAAGTGAATAAAATAAGTGTAGAAGGAAATAAAAGTAGGCTCTTACAGCTGTTTGAAAAAATGAAGAATACAAAAAACGAAAAGAAAGAGAAATTAAATATGAGAACAATAGTACCTTGGACTATTAATAGAACTAAGATAATTACAAGGTCGAATTTTAATTTTCGATATTGACATTATTTATCGTATATTTTTTTTATTAATATATTGCCATAATATTTTACAGATTAAATTTTGAAAGTGAACATATAATAGGTCGTTTGACACCTAACTTATGGATTGCTACGATTTGTGAACAAATATGGATCATAGATATTGCTGGCTTGATCAATGGTTTGAAAATTGCTGATATTGATACAGATAAGGTATTCCATTTAACACTTCTTTCTTACAGAAAGTATATTATGTATGTACACACAAGGTGAATATAAGACATTATTTTATATATTATATAATATTATTATTATTATCATAGATTGATGCCAAGAGAATTGAATGTCTTCTCAAACAATGGTTATCGAAACGAGACGATATGTCAGTGATGCATTCTATATACGAATTTACAAGAAAACTGTAAATGTAATGATATAAAGTAACTTCTTTTTTTATTAAAAATATAAATATATTGAACAATTTTGTAAGATATTTTCTTGATATCGTGTTTGTGTGCGCGCGCGCGTGCGTGCGTGCGTGCATGTTTGTTTACTATGTAAAACATCGAATTAAAGTTGAGTTAACAAAAATACAACTACTATACGATTTTATATCTGCAACAAATAATAAAATTATAAACCTAAAAAAAGAAAAAACATCTGTAATATGAAATTATATTAATATACAGATATGTATTATATTAGTATATTAATAAAGATAAATCCAAAAAATTGTTTATGTAATTCTATTTAAATTTAATAAGGTTAAATTTTTTGATTTGCAAAAAACTTTTTAAATTATGCCGCCAAGATTGAGCATCATTGGCCGCATTCAGTAATTCAACAGTTGGGCAACATTACAAGATTTTTCGATATAAATCGATGCTGATTGGTCGGATCTGAAAGTGGAAACCAATCACGTTTGATTACCACTTATCAATTGAATCCGCTAAATGCACTATAAGGGTCTGTTCTTTTTAGCTGCACTGCTACACTAGTGCAATAAGTTGAAAAAAGATAAACATACTTTCTTTCACTCTAACTAATTGCACTAGTGCAGCAGTGCAGATAAAAAGAACAAGCCCTAAACTTCTCTCGATCGCCATCATCTTTTCCAATCTTTCTACAGCTCGAGGCTTGAGCCGTTTTCCAACAACTGTTTTCGGCTCCCTCTTTCAATATTTTGCACAGCCTGTTTGTTACAAGTGCTTGTATTTCGTACAATTTTAAAATCGTCTTGATACAATGGTGAATAAATTCTTTCTCTCAATATACAGATTTTTTGCTAAAATTAAACTTTAATATACGTGGATTATTCATTAGAAATTGATAAGAAGACTAGATGTTTATTTTTCAGAGAGATACATTTGCCGCATACTGAAAAATAGTTCTCAAAGAAATTCGCATATTTTCTTCATATAGTTTTGACATTATCTGAAATAATGTATCTTCACTTGACAGATCTCAATTGATTAGAAATCAATATTTATAATTTCCAATTATATGTTATATTTAAATTTAATCTCATATATGCTTTTTTTTGGCTCATTGAACTCTGTAACTTTTATATGCAAGATATGATGTATACCTGTTAGCAATGGAAATTATATATAGCGAGAATCTCCCTTAGAATATCCCTTAAAACAATAAGTCGGATATCTTGGACTTACTAAGTATTTACTTATTGTAAACCTCCAAGAGAATGTATGAGAATGTATCTGATGTATATTGCTAAGATACATGACACACCTAGCTCGCTTTGATGTTTCACTAAAGAAAATATAATTGTTCCCTGTATATAACCTGATTAGCAAAAATATGATCAGATAATATATTTATGAAATATTAAGTGATTAATTATTTGTCAAAAATTAATCACATAAGTGTTTAATTATATACATTGTGCAATTATATGCTTATTTATTAAAAAAAGTAATAATTTTTACCTTATGTTAAAAATTGGACCTTGTTTCAATATAAAAATATTTATTAAAACTTGATTCTCTGTTGACTTATCCGAAACATTAAAATCAATTAATTAAGTAATATGAAATCTTTTTTTTATCTAATCTTATTCTAATACCTATGTGTTCTTGTATAGGGTTTTGTTAAAGTCAAGAATAAGCAGTACTTCAAGCGTTATCAAGTTAAATTCAAGAGACGTCGTGAGGGAAAGACTGATTATTATGCCCGTAAAAGATTAACTATTCAAGACAAAAACAAATACAATACACCCAAGTATAGACTAATTGTACGTCTTTCTAATAAGGATATTACATGTCAGGTAAATTGAATGATAATAAACATAAATTCAATTAAAACTAAATATATAATTTAGATGTATTGGAGTCAGTTTCTTTATTTTCTTTCATTTTAATCCCAACTTTTATTTTAATTGCTATTTGCAAAAGGCTGTGTGTGTGTGTGTATGTGTGTGTACATGATACAAATATAGTAATTAAAATAAAAGTTGTAGATAAAGAGATTGCTTGACTCTAATACATCTAAATTACATATTTATATTGATATTAATATTTAATATATATATGTATGTATATTAAAAATATACATACAGTCATAAATGTCTGCAACTTTACTAGCAATTTTTATTTTGCATATACATGATCAAATAATCAATGTTTAGTAATGAAATAGTAGTGTGAAAAAGGCCAGTTATAAAAGCTTCATTGGTCAAGAATATATAGAGAAATATACTATACTTTTGCCAATGTATTATAACTTTTGCCAAATATATATTATGAATATGCAAAATATATATATTGTATGTTGTTATATGTATATATAATATATATATATATATATATATATATATATATATATGTATATTATTTATGCAAAAAATCAGAAATTAACTAATAATGTAATAAATCTTTTCTCAAGGTTGCTTATTCGAGAATTGAAGGAGATAGGATTGTGTGCAGCTTATAGTCATGAACTTCCTAGATATGGTGTTAAAATTGGTCTCACCAACTATGCATCCGCTTACTGCACTGGTTTACTCTTGGCCAGAAGAGTAAGTCATATCTTTCTCCATTTTTTTTTCAAAAATATGTATAATATCTGCAATATACTGCTAACATAATGAAACACCTAGTTCACTTTGATATTTCACTGAAGAAGAAAATGCCGTTGTTCAATATATATGTATTCCGATTATAGCGATATAAAATAATTCCGATTATAAAAGATATTAGATAATTTTTATTTATAAAAAACGAACACCTTATATGATTTGATAAAATCGATTGTTTTATTTTTGTAGCTCCTTAAAAAGTTGGGATTGGATACTTTGTATGTAGGTACTACAGATGTTACCGGTGACGAATATAATGTTGAGGAATTGAACGACGGTCCAGGTGCCTTCAGATGTTATCTTGATACGGGACTTATGCGCACTACAACAGGCGCCCGAATTTTCGGTGCTATGAAAGGTGCGGTTGATGGCGGTCTCAATATTCCTCATAGGTAAAAATAGAGAGATTCATATATGTAATTTAATTCTGCTATTGATTTATATCACATTAAATCTAATAATTATATTTATTCTTTTCCTTGTTTGAATATATTCTTGTCTTGAAATTTACTTTTCCTCTTGCATTTTATAATAGCAATCTGGTAAATTTCACATAAATATAATAGAATTTTGTTTAAGATTAAGTGACACCTAAATCGCAATGGATCGTAATGCGCATTATATCCTACGCAATATCTAAGGCGCGTTAAGGCGATCCGAAATTCCCGTGCCCCGTTTCCAGATCCCGTCTCTGCGCGCTTTAACGAATTGCGGCGCTCAGCAGCAGTCGCCCTTTGCAAACGCGATCACGCTTCCTTATATAGATTGTTTGAAGCTCAAGCCCGCGTGGTCGTCCGAAGGAGCCAAAAATCACAACAAATCGTTCTAACGGTTGAGCTGACCTGTGTTAAAAAGGTCAAGATCGAGAATCTTCTCGAAAGCGATATAAAGACTCTTTCGGCGAACCGCCGGACGCACTTGAACTTGGAAGCTTCCCGGAGATAGTGTGTGCTCCAATTCGTATTCGAAAAGTCGCTCGCTTTTTAAGTCCATCGCTCGTGGATTTCGAATTAAACGATATCGTCGCTCATGATAAACTCAGAATTTTCCGCCGAGTTCAATTCGCGCCGGTTCAGAAAGATCTCTTGTTCATCGCTCAGAATAAGATCCAATCTGTAATTAGATTTTGTATAAGTGTAAATAATAAATATATTAGAGGACAAGTTTTATATTAGACACCAGAGGAAATTTAGCATTATTAATTAACTTATTTGCCTTTAACTCGCGAATTAAACAGAATTAAATAAAAGTCTCTTTGACAATATCGACTTTCAAAATATATTTCAAAATACTACTACTGCTATTATTGTTCTATAGTACCAAGAGATTTCCTGGATATGATCCTGAATCAAAATCATTCGATGCAGAAGTGCATAGACAGCATATATTTGGTCAACATGTTGTAACTTATATGAAAATTCTGGAAGAAGAGGATGACGAAGCTTTCAAGAGACAGTTTTCACAATACATTAAGCACGGCATCTCTGCGAATGATGTAAGCGCAATTATATTGTAATTTTCAATATGTATTTATATTAGTTTAATATACATACATACGTCTAACTATAATTACTGCTTAGATTAATTAAATCTATGTGGTGTCGCAGTTAGACAATAGCAATTTTCATTGGTTGTTAAATGTGAATGCATTACTGCATTTATCAAAATAGACCCATGTTACATTATTATCTTATCATTAGTATCTTTTTAGATTGAGAATATATACAAAAAAGCTCACGAAGCAATCCGTGCTGATCCAGAACACAAGAAAGTGACGAGAGAAAAAGAACCTATTAAGAAGAGATGGAATCGCGCAAAATTATCTTTGTCCGAGAGGAAGAATCGTGTGGCCCAGAAGAAAGCTTCGTTCCTCAAGACCTTGGAAGAAGCAGAGGCGTAACTTCTATCAGAATCGTATTTATAATGTATGCACAAATTTGTGTGTACATGAATCAAGAATAAAAAATGAATAAAGAAAATCCAATACATATATGAGTTTATAAATTGTAAAATTGTATATTTACATACTATATTTTATTTTATTTTAAATTATCAGGAGATACACATGTTGACTTTATAATGAAAATTTTTACATAAAATTTAATTTTGTTAATAATACAAAGTAACAAAGTTACTTGAATCGCTCTTACATATTTGTTTCTGTGATAAAAATCCATTGTGTCAAATGTAACAAAGATACTCATAGTCTGAAGTGAGAATTAAATTAATCTTGTATATCTTGCATTAAACTTCTGGTTAATCATTTTTTTATTTTCTCTTGTGCTGTTAAATGATATAAATAAATTATTCTGAATTTTCAACTTTCAAAATATTTTATATACAATCTATCTACTATTTTAAATCATATAACGATAACATTACAATATGATAAAATATTGAAAAAATTCATAATTTTGATCATTTTTATCCAAGAAATTCATGACATTAATTATATTTCCCAACATATACAAAAATCAGTTTAATGTGGAAATGATTGTTAGACGTTGAAATAGAAGGAACAAACTTCGACTTTTGTATTCTTTTTACCTAATAAAAAAAATTTCTATGTGATAATTAATGATATAATTTGATACACAGTTAAGTGACATTTATTTAGGACGAGAAGACTGTTTGAATATTTTATATATAATTTTAACGAAAAAGTGACAATCTGCTGCGAGAACCAGGTAACCGACCTTGCGAATCGAGCAAGCCGTTTTGAATGTCCGTGATTGAAGGTACAGTCTTTACCTCGCCGCGTGCTGCTACGCAAGGTGGCGATTTTAATAAACGTCGTGCTACTCTATCAATATCATCCTTAGATATTCCATCTATAAACATTGAATTTTTTTGCGACTGTTATTGAGAATATAAATATTGTAATTTATTAAAAGTGCAAGTTAATTTTTGCAATTTACCGATAGCTTGCATGAAATATTCTGGTCTTTTTCTAGAACCAGTTGCCAAAACTTGTCTTCCAATATCTTCAAATACAACGGGTCGTTGTTCCAAATTCATAAGTAACATCGACTGCAATTGCTTCTTTGCTCTCTAAAAGAAAAGGGAATTTGCAAGATATAATTATTGATTATAGGAAAATGATTTAGCGAAGATTAAATTGTGCATGTGATTTGATATTTGTGATTCTTAATATTCTCATTTGATATTTGTGATTCTTAATATTCTCATTTATAGGCAATATGACATGTATTGACAATTGTATAAAATGTGACACGTTCTTAATTGTCAGTTTAATTCAAAGTTGTATAAAGCAAAATCATACCGCTAATTCATTATCCGAGACTCCGCTTGTCATGGTGACCATTTCATGTATAATTACTTCTACCATATCCTTTACATAAGATGGTGTGCATGAAGCATGAATACAAAATAAACCAGTATCTGCATAAGCATGATTGTACGCAGTTGCACTGTACAACCAATGATACCTAAAATATTCATTGAAGTTAATACAATAGTTATATATGTATATAAATATATTATATTGTTGACCGAGAGATTCGCTATAAGAATGAGATAAGTTTGTAATTTGCATATAATATCCAAGATATAAATGAACTTTACAAATTAAACTTATTCATTTATATACTCTTCAATTATAACAAAGATAATATACAATGCAAAATATGTGTGAAAAAAGAGATATAAAAAATAACTATATTTTATATCTCTTTCCTACTTATATATATATCTCTTATACAAATATAAGAATATAAAATTACTCTACCTATTCAATACATTGGTGTACAAGCGTGTGTACATGCCTTTTCCAGGACCACCAGCGCTAAAACTACCACCGCCTCCCATCATCATATTTAATACGCACATAGCGACAAAATCTGGATCTTGATGGGAACAGCCTTCCAAACCTATAACAACATGTGACAATTCAGGCAAACCACTAGGTCCAGCGTAAATTGGCACATTGCACTCCTCCTGTTTAAAATATCAAAAGGATTTCTCTTAATTTCACTTAATGAGAAAAGAATATTTACAAGCACATAATATGTGAATGAACATACCATAACACATCCTGCACTATATTGTGCGATAGATTTATCAACGGTATTTCTATTATTTGGCAAAATAAGGTCAGCTTGTTCCTCCCAGATAGGTTTTTGATCTACAAAGTACCTACATCAAAGATAATGTTATTAGCATACATAAACAAAAAAAGAAAAAATCTTTATCTTTATATTGTGACACCAATGTCATATTTTGCAAAAATAATGTGTTTAACTTGTATATTTTGAAAAATCTGTCAAATTATATATAATTATATATATATATATATATATATATATATATATATTTATGATTATTTATGGAAAATTTGTGACAATTACTTGTTAACAGCATGGACCAAATCATCATGCTCAACACCAACTCCAGCGACTACCATTCTACTAGGTACATAATGATGTTTGAGATAGATGTGTAAAGTTTTTCTATCTATCTTTTCAATGTTCTCTTGTGGACAGATCTTGGGCAAACCTAACGTGTTGTTTCTGTACGCAGCCTATCGATATAATATATCCATAATTATATGTTTTCTTTCCTTATAACAAGAAAATATATTTGTAATTCTAGTAAAAAATATGCTTCAAAAATATCTCTTATATATTTTAAACTCACAGCATGAATCATGTCCATTAATATGGGCTCTTGTTCAGGCCTAGTATGTAAAGACTCCAATTCAAATTGTACAGTTTGTTTGGCAATTTGCACCTGCAAATCATTCAACTTTAATTTGTATAAACATAAAAATATATTTAGCAAATTGATGATGTTTATGAGAACTTTATATAATAAAATATTATGAGAAATATTTCTTTATACGTTACACATTGCGTTACTTACCTCTTCCTCTGTAATTTTAGGTCTCAAGACAATATCACCGAGAACTTGAGTAATTATATCCAATCCACGACGTTCCGCCGACGCTGCATAAACAAATGTATCGCGCGATGCCTGACAGTCACAAATACCACCATGTTTTTCTAATGCTAGCATTATTTTATCCTTGCTATCATATGTATTTGTAGACTGCAACAAGTAATATGAAATAAATTTATGTATTTACTCGTAATATATTTGAAGCCAAGGTTTTATAATAAAACCATAAAAAGTGTTGATCAAAGATATAAAATAAAAGATATAGAATGTATGTTAATAGAACCAAAATTATCGATTAGAACATAGATATCGATTAAATGTATAAATCAGTAATCTGCATTATTTACTTATTACTTTGTCAAGATTTCAATAGTAATACTTAAAAAACCTTACTCCAAATGCTAATTTTTCAAGAAAGTGTGAAATACCACTTGGATATGCCGCTTCGTATCGTGGACCCGAGTCGATAAGGACTGAAAATCAAAAAGACAATATATTCATTTGCGCATAGATCCAATATATAAATTATGATTATATTATTTAAATAATATTAATTTTTAACTTACCACCTATAGTACAAAATTGTCCGAATCTATTTTCCGATGCAACTTTTAAACCATTTGGTAAAACTGTAATCTTTGTCACTTGATGCTCCTCTTTTGCAGTGGAATATATGGGTTTTGGTAGATTAGGGATAGATTCTGTCAGTGGTGGAAATGATGTAACAGATTTCTTCTGATTTTCACTCAACTGAATAGGTATTCTTTGAGAAGAAAAGTTACATCTCTGCCAGATATTAAAGTATTTCGTGCAAGTAAAACTGAAAGATGAAAAACATACGATACAAACTTTTCAAACACGGCATCTTATAAATTGCGTTATCGCAATTACCTCTTTCTAATCGCAACAATTAACGGCTTTTGCGACATTTTCGAAAACGTGTACATCGTGTACCGTCAAGAGGATCTTTAACGTACGATATAATTTTGCCGTTGAAAAAAAGAAATGGTATAATATTAAACGACTAAAATTTCGCTACGTTTTCACAAGGCGAATAAGTATTCTGCAATAATACATTTTATTAATATATACAGAGAAATGATAATAATTTCAACTTTATTAGGTTAAATTTTTCTATTCATAGATGTTTACAGTTGCCTGACGGCTATTTCATTGGCTAGATGATATTTCAAGATCGATTTCTGCATGAACGCGTTACGTATGATAAAAAAGGGGAGTGCCTCGTTTAACCACGTCCAATTATATCGACCTGTGCCTAGGGTAACCAGCACGATCAAGCACATTAGCCAATCAAAGCCAGTTGTGTCCAATTGTACTGTGGCTATGTTCCAAAATTCACTGCCAGTACTGAAAATCTATAGTGTAGGTCATGTAAACTATAGATTTTCAGTACTGGCAGTGAATTTTGGAACGCAGCCTGTGTCTAATCGGAGGTGTCTCTACATAGTTACGTACGTATATGTACACACACCTATCATAAAACTCAGATTTCATTTTTCAGCATTGGCAATCCTGAAACCGGAGTTTCACATTGTCACCGCGCGAGGTCTCCAATATCAATTCGGAGTTTGCCCGTCACTCCTGTAGACCCTTAAAGTTGTAACTCGAGAAATTGATCAATCACAATCGAGTATTCTCTTAATGTTTGACTGTGATTGGTCAATTCCTTAAGTTACAACTTTAATCCATTAATCTTACTGTCATTGTAGATGACGTGTTATATATTTTCAGTGCTGACAGTAAACTGGCAGCAATTTCGAAACACGGCCGCACAGCCCTTGTCACTCAGTGAGAGGTTGTGCTTCTAGATGCACTCGTTGATATGTGTAAATTTTACTGTAATATAACCAGAATATAACATAAAATATTTATCGATTGGATTAAGTTATATGAAAGTTATTAATATTATTAATTGATTGGAAAATGTAATAATCGCAAAATGGAAAAAACAGACGTACGAATTTTCCTAGAGTTGAAATCATGTTGCGATAATCTCTTAAAAAATCCGAGTAAGGAACATGCATATAGAATTGCAACGGTGGCCAATAACATCTCCAATGAAGTCATGCAAGACTCATCAGAATATTGTTTATTTCCCATTATCACTTCCCTACGAAATAACAGCTTGAGGTAATAAATTTGTAATTTGTATTATACATAATAGAAAAAATATATGATTATTAAAATATATATGTATAATAAAATATAAGTGATCTGACAATATATTTTATATCTTTTTTATTATAATCACATTTATCTCTCGTTATAAATCTTATAAACATCTATTTCTGTACAGTATGAATGTAAAAGAACAATTGGTGAAGACTATGAGAGTCATAATACAGAAGATTAGAATTAGAAAATTAAAGCATTTTTATGAGATCTATGAATCTTTGTTATTTCAAATCTTTGACAAAAGTCAGCCAAATCAAGGTATATATGTTATATAGATTTTATCAGTTTGTAATGGTTATTTAAATTTACTCAAATTTTATGCAGTAATCATGTTTTACGAGGAACTCAAGGAAGTAGTAGCATTATGTATCAAAGATCTCGTTCATCACAGCTTTACTGATGTCATTGAGTTACTTTATACCAAAGAAAATAGACTGAAACTTGGCCAAGGAATATTATTATGCTTAACAATTGCAAGAATTGAAAAGTCACCCATTGTAAAGTAAGTATCTATCATAAAATAAGTATTTAAAAGAAGCAACATTTACTTTAATTTCAATATACTACTATAAAAATTATATATATATATTTGTATATTGATTATATAAACTAATATATTGAACATATATTTAAAACCAATGTATTATTAGATTAGCAGCAATAGATGCGATAATGGTTCTATGCCATATAGATGACAAAATAGATAAATCTGATATCGTTATGCAAGAACAAGTAGCAGATATCATTATGGTATTTTTACCTGGTATTGTTAGTGGATTACAAGAAATAGCAATGGGAGGTGAAGTTCAAAATCATAAGGTTACAATGGTAATGTATAATTATTCATATATATATTTATGTAATATAATTACCTATTTGCTCTTTAATAGGAACAAATTATTTATACGATAGATATTAATCTGTATATTAATTGAATGTTATAGATGGCAGTTCGAGCATGGGGAAGAGTTATATCTCTTGTGATGCATGATAAAGAGGAAAAAGATATTGCGTTATCTATAGAAACACTTATGAAAAAAGACAGTATGTTTACCAATGTGTCGCATACTCCAACATATAGTGGTAAATGTGATATAAAACATAATTTAAAGGGAGCCACAAGAAATAAGGAGTGGTTTGAAGCTGCAGCTATTAAACTTGGTGCTTGTATACAGCTTGTGGATAAAATTAGGAGTCATTCACATTATAAAGTCAGAGGAGAATTGGTAGAAAGTATCAATATTATACTTAAAAATTGTCCCAGGTAAAGCATTCTCTTTTATTCTCCTTGTTTACTTTAGTAATACACTTTAATAATACACACCTAAATGTATAACATAAGTAAACAAATTTTAATATTTTATATAGAAATATGAAACCAAATATTATGATATTAACGGATTATTTGATTTCCTTGTCTGAAGATGAATCTATAGAAGTTAGCAATAAAGCACATAATGTGCTGCGCAGTTTAAGTGAAAACTACATGCAAAATCACAATATAAGACCGCTAATTGATTCATTGGAAGATAAGTTTTATGGTTTACTTACAAGATTGCCCACATTAATAAGACGGTCAGGTAAGATTTTCCCCACATCTTTTTATTATTTACATAATTTTTAAATATAAATAAAAAAATTTAAATATATGCCCCAATTAAAATATATGTATCTATATCCTTCAGATGGTAATGAACAATTAGCATCCTTGAATCAATTTGCTGGCTATTTAAAGCTGTTTGGAAAACAAAGACTACCTCATATTATGAGATCACAAGCTCACATGCGAAGATTGCTTTTAGCCCTTGTATACATTATGGTGTTAGATTGCAATGATGTATCTCCTTTGCTAACAATAAATATGAAAGATTTAGATGATCCTGTGTATTTCTATGGATCAAACTCATGGAAACAATTTAAGTTTATCAAGAACAGTTCATGTAGAGAGAAACTTGTTGCAATATGCAAGCTGCTTGGAGAATTTGGGGATTGTAGGATATTAGTTGATACTATTCTTGAGCTTATGTCAGATGCATCACAACACAGGAAAGAACTAACTTTACTACTTAACTGGATCTTAGGTGATATAGACAACATAATAATGTATTTAAATTATAAAACAAAATATTAAAATCAGCTTTTATAGTTATGATTTTCATTGTTTCAGTTTCTATTAAAGATCCATCTGTTTCACATTTATATAAGGAAATTGTGAATTTTTATACAATGCAAGAAGTATGGTACTTGCCCATAGAAGTATCTAAAGATATTCCTTTGGTACAGGTGCAAAGTAATATAGTACAGTGTTGTCTTTTAATGGAAGGACTAGGCTGTATAGCGCAAAATTTACAAAACGACCACGATAAATATCTTTTGAAAACTTTGTATATTATTATTGAAAGAGCAGGTATGTATGCATATATGTCGTTGACTTTATGAGAGAACTTTTTTTTACACATAAATAAAAGTTATATATACATGGATATGGGTGCAATTTTAGGTAGTGGAAACAGTTTGATCAGTTATATTGGAGTGCGTACTCTCGAAAGTGTCGCCAAAGCGCAACAACATGAGACGATCGGCGACCTGTTACGTGCGAACGTAGATTATTTTTCTTATCACATTTTAATGAAATTACGTCAAGTGGCTCGTAATCCTGGCGTACTCGATGTTATTGAAGTTGTTATGAAATACAGCAGATTAGACTTCTTACCACATTTAAAGGGAATTGTGAATGATGTATTCAGGCAACTATGTATGCCTTATCATCAGAAAGATACTTATTCCTTTCTAAAGATATTTCATACATTTATCGCGTGCGTAAAAACTTTAATAAATTGGGAAGATACAAAAGGAATAATAAAGAAAGATGACACACAATCTACAAATAATTTTTCGGAGACAATCATTCTTTCTTTATTAGAATATTATAACGCAAAGAAGATTGATGAAAAGATCGAAAAAAATAATGTTGAAGAGATCGAATCAGATGTGCCAAATTTTGAAAAATCAACAGAAGAGACAAATACAGAACAGCTAATAGAACATTACTCTGATCCAAATGTAGAAGGTATATATAATAAGAATCTGTATATCTATAAGTTTTATAAATATTGTGTAAATATATTGTACGCGCATTTATTTTATATATTTTAGATGAAAAAAACAAAAAGTTACCAACCCATATAAAGATAATTGTAGAAGTTATGAAACGCTGTTTACATTTTCTACCTTTGAAAGATGTACAAAAGTCATTAATGGCAATGCAAACGCTTCAAGAAGGTCTACCAATGTTAATTGAATGGGAGAATGAATTATTACCTATTGTGCATCAATTATGGCATCCGCTAGTTGACAGATTTAATGATAAAAACGTCCTTGTGATTAATCGTTCATGGCAACTTTTACATGTACTCGCTGATATATCGAACGACTTTATCAGAAACAGAACTTTACGGTACAATATTTTTCATATATTTTGCAAAAAGATATATATAATAAAACAGAAATACACCAAATATGATATCGTAATCGGTTTTTCACATGTAGACAGGTATTGCCATGCATATTTAAATTCCTAGTCGAATCTTCTACAGAAAGCATCGATAAAAGTTCTGTGAATATTTACAAATTTACACAAATCTATAAATTACAACGCGAATTATTATCTACTTTGGGAACAATTGCTCGGCTCCTAAAACTTCGTGAACGGGAATTATGGCAAATATTAAGTAACACAGAATCATATCTTAGTGCACGACAAAATCCTATGTTACAGGTAATATTGAGCCGAAAAGAAATATAAATTTTTGGATATATGCTATATATGTCTTTATTAACTATTTATTTCCTTGTCAATAGGCATGTTGTGTAAAATTGTACAAAGATATTGCCGATTATAATGGAGATATCGCGTGGTTGAAGTGTCTCAGTATCTGGAATTCAAAAATTGCACGAATAACATCTGATGCAACACTTGACATAAGTAATTTGCTGGTATGTTAGCATTTATTTATCGAAATACGATTCTATGAATAAAGATCTAGCATTATGTGTAATATATATAATGTTCAAATAATTATAAAGACTAATAAATAATGTTACTTTCCAGGATTCAGAGGTTGCTCGATCAAACAAATATTATAGAAATGTAAACGAAATCATTATATACATCCAAAAAAAGGACCTGCACCATTAAATAAATTATACATGTTATATATTAACTACAAGCTCATATTAAAGATATAAGATACATATTATTTAAGAAAAATCAGAATATTAGTAATAGAGGCCTTAAAAATATAAATAAAAATATAATAAACAACATATTGAACCAAAACTTGTCAAGGCAATAATGCGTCAATCGATTACAAAAAACGTCTTTATTCTTTATAGAATCACTAAAATGTTAATCATATATAAAAAACGTAAATAATTAGAATTGTTGAAATACATATGTACATAGAATATTTATATAGATTCATACATATCAAAAAATAGTGACAAAATTTTGATTCAATCTTTTTATTGATATATAATTCTAATAGATTTTATAATTATATATATTTTTCCACATTTTACAGTAATTTGTATACAATTATACTCCTTTTCATTATCTACAAAGCGATATATTACTTTATAAAAAAAAAGATGTACTACGGTGTACAAAATATGTATACATATATATGTGTGTGTGTGTGTGTGTGTACGTACACACGCCACTACATAATACATATGTGTGTGTGTGTGTGTGTGTGTGTGTGTGTGTGTGTAAAGTGCATATATATACATATATATGTATGTATGTATGTATGGTATGTATATAGGTACGCTTGATGATATTTACATACGATTTCTTTTTTTTTATATCGATTTTAATATGTATATGACAGTGAATATCGCATTTTCTTAATTTATATTAATCTTTCTATTTTTTTAGAAATAGATCGCTTTTGTTTGATTCTGAGACTATACGGAAATTAGAAATGAATATGCTAAGATAATTAACAGTTATTTAAGGTTTATAATTTATAAAAAAAATTTAAAGTTTTTGGGATTTTTTTAAAGTTTTTAAATTATAATTTAACAATTGCATGTAGCTATTATTCTTTGGATAAGAAAAATGCATATAAATGCAAATAATAATTAAAAGACGAATTTTTCCAATTCGCTATTTTTGGTTCTTTCAATAGAATATTTAATTTTCTAAAGTTGCAGAGAGAGATAATACAAGTTCAATGATAAATAATAAAAATATTTAAAGATACTAAATTTTTCCTCAAACTAAGAAAACACATTTTTTACAATAATTTTTTTATAAGATCATATTTCTTTATATGACATTTCTTGCAAGTATTATAAATAATATTCTCTTAAGAAAATGTATCTGTTTGTAAAATTGAGCTTATATTGATACTTTGCAAGAAATTTCAAATATACAAATGTATATAAAGTGCATAAACTCCTTACATACAATATATTATAAAGAATTATGAATTACAGGTACACAGAGGCAAATGCAAAATATACTGTTCTTCAAAGATTCTAGATTACAATCACTTTACAATCGCGAGCCTGAAATCATATAATATATATTTATTTGTAGAAATCAGGTTATCATATTATTTAATACAACAGTTACATATTTTCCTTTTTTTTTCTATATATCTCAATACATTGCCCAGTATCATATACATTACACAATATTTCTATATTCTCACTGTGAAATGTACGTTATATTATGATTGTAATTTTATTTATATTATTTTAATATTTTAATATTATAGATTCTTCCTGCGATTTATATCGCAGATATCTCGAAAGAAACCTCGTGTCTTACAAAAATTGCTGTAAAATTAGTAAAACAGCAATTAGAAATTTTGAATTATTGAGTCTCGAGTTATTTATATGTAATTTAATAATTAATGATCACATAGTCGGTTCTTACTATATATTGATCAATGTAGTTTGAAGAATTCAGAAAAACTTTATATCAGAAAAATTGCTGTAAAATTAATAAAACAGCAATTAGAAATTTTGAATGATTGAGTCTCGAGTTATTTATATGTAATTTAATAATTGATGATCACATGGTTCGTTCTTACTATATATTGATCAATGTAGTTTGAAGAATTCAGAAAAACTTTATATCCATATAGATATAGTAGTTTGAAGAATTCAAAAAAACTTTATATCCATATAGATATAAAGTTTTTCTGAATTCTTCAAACATACTACATTGATCAATATATAGTAAGAACGAACTATGTGATCATCAATTATTAAATTACATATAAATAACTCGAGACTCAATAATTCAAAATTTCTAATTGCTGTTTTATTAATTTTACAGCAATTTTTGTAAGACACGAGGTTTCTTTCGAGATATCTGCGATATATATATATATATATATATATATATATATATATATATATATATATTTCCCCCGCATTTTCTGTACTATCAAAGAGAATTGTGTGTGTGTGTGCACGCGCGCGCGCGCGCGTGTATGTATGTATGTATAGTTTTTTTCCACTTAGGATCTGAGATTGACATCTTTAGGTAAGAGATAATAAAGTATTAGAGCGTTTACATTAGTTCTTTAAAATTAGCTATTTATAAAACAGTATATTTTACAGTTATTTTTAGCAAAAATTTTTGCCTATGAACAGATTCATAAATATTACACAATTCTAGAAAAGCGAAGCATCATTTCCATGCTTGTTTTTGAGCTTTTTGTGATGCTAATTTTTTGGTGATGTATGATGAGATCAACAACGCCGCGAGTACTATCACAATAAGATAATAATCAAAGTCCTCTTTTAAGACATCGAATGTTTTAGATGGTGCCACTCTTGTGTAAAATAGATCTGCAAGAAACAATGTTTATTTCACTTGTATAAGAAGTTATTTAACATCGTCAGTATGTTAGACTTGAACTATTTAGCATTAATGTTATACTCACCAAGACCGTGTACAAAAACTAAACAAGTACTTTCAAGGCCACTGGGACTAGTATGGATACCCATTACTCTAGAAACACTTTGATTATAATTAATAATAGCATCCATATGGATTGGAATTTCGGGCATATATGGTATTACTCCTTCCTCTCGCATTTCAGGATTAGTAGGCCGTCGCGGATCCACCATCATCCACGGCAACTCTAATATTCCACCATTGGCTAAAGCAACTGATAAAAATATATAAAGATTACTAAGTGTTTCCTTAATATTTGGTGTCCCAACATAATTAGATAATTAGAATTGAATTTTTTCTTTAAATCTCATAATCCAAACTAAAACATACCTATTATATGTTTACTAGTAATTCCCTTTTCAGTGATTGTTTCCTGCATGTATTCTATAGATGCCGGAAAAATAAAAGCTTGTCTTTCTACAATTGGCAATTTTGTTGTTGCTAAAGAAGAAAATACTGAAACGCCGAACAATTATTATGAATTATAAAGTAACAATATATCTGTACTTTGAAAGAAAAAAAAAACAATATTCAAAATTCATCATTTTTTTATAAAGGCCATTTACATATATTAGAAATTTTAATTGGGAGAAAAAATCTATCTGTATCTTTTATTAATAGATTTTCTAAGAGATAGAAATGATATTAAAAATGCAATGTCTTTTGTCGTGTCTTAAAGTTAAAATGGCTAATAATCATACAAATCAATGGATATTTTTCCTTTTTCTCCTAAGGATATATGTATTAAAAAGATTAGCTTTTGATTTTTACCTGTAGTATTACTCTGTATTTTTCCTTCGTAGAGTTCTAATGTAGCAATCTCCGTTCTACGTCCTTTCTCATTAAAATATCCATACACCAACCAATTTTCCGAGTGCACAATATGGATTGGACCGCGTACTCTTTTGTGCGTGATGGAGAAAATCATAGCTCCGGATACTACATCCAGTAGATATAAATTAAGCGTATCTGTATATAAAAAAAAAAGGAAAAAACATTAAAATTATCTTCTTGTTTCTCTTGAAAAATCATATCAATGAAGTATTGTGCAGAAAACGATTACTTACTTTTATGGGCATGCCCAATACCTTCAGTTACCACAGCCACCAAGTTAGGATTAATATACTTGTATAATACCGATCTATCACTCAAGACTCTTCCTTGTGAATGTACACGTTCTATTGGGTTTTTTGCCACAACTTGCGTTATTTTTTGATTTCGTGGTGATAGTAACAACTCCCACACCTTGTGAGCGATTAGTTCCTGCATTGGGCATTAAAATAATCAATTGCATTAATGTTACGATGATGGATATACTAGGCATATCTATATATAACGAACTTGAGTCGTGCTGTATGAAAGAGAGAAGCCGGACAATATTCCTGTCGTTTGATCGGCAGTGAAGAGATATGTACTCTTGCCGAGTGAAGCTGCAACTGCGATAGCGCTGTCGGGATAAACATGAACTTTATTCCGCGCATCAAGAATGAGAATACCGCGCAAAAAGTCATCGGTCGTCACATGCAGTAGCATAGACTGCTTAATTTTGTAACCAAGTTTCACCAGTCCATCCAATGGCTGTCCAGTAATCGGATTAAAAGTATATACAACACCTTCTCCAGTTTCCTATCATAAATACGAAACAATATGTCAGATATATGAGATGACTTAAAATGCTGTATACTTATAATCAAATATATATTGTCATCATTAAATGTAATATATGCATCATACCTTGTCTTCTGCTAATAATGCACATTGAGGTGGATGAGGGAAGTGTCTGCTACCTCTTTGTACATACAAGATCATTGTATTAGATAGTTTTGTAAAACCACGGATATTAGGTAACCTGAGTTGCCAGATAATTTCACCTTTTCTAGTTTCAATACCATACAACTGCAAATAATAAACTTAATGTAATGATTTCTAAAGACAAGATACGATATTTGATCTATATATATTCATACTTTGCCAGCGGACGTAACGGCTATTATCATTTTGTGCAGGCCGAATTTATCTCTGACCAAATCGATACGTTGATTGGATTGCTGAGGCCCTAAATCCAGTATCGTTTGAAAGAATGCTTTAGCTTGATTGATTTGTGAAGTAATCCTTCGTAGAAACATACTTAATACATCCCCTGTTTAAAAACAATACAAGATACATTTAGAAAATACATACCTCCGAAAAACTGTACACTATTATTAAAACCCATGGATTGGATGATTTAGCCAGCAGGAAGATATAAAAAATTAAATGAAAGAAACAATAACAAACAGCGATGATTATTAAGTCCTTGTATTGAGTTATAAAAGCTTAATAATTTTACATATGCTTGCAACAGCTTCAAAATTCGCGAAAATCTCTTTACTCATTTTGGCATAGCTGGTTATCATATTTAGGATAAAAAGTTTTAAAAT